CTGCTGCCTGCTGTTTACCCTAATAGCACAAGACCTCGAGCTGCCTGAGCCTCTGACCTGCTCCACCAGCTGCTACCGGTGGCTGAATGAGAAAAACTTTGGAAAAGTTTAACACTAACTGCTTAAATGGGTTTAAATCGAATCTATTTAGTCGTCCAGACAATGTGAATTTCTTTTTTATTCTTTTTTCCTTACAGATGTACACTTCAAATTTCAGCTAAACACGTGCTGAATTGCGAATGTCTAAACCTTATAGCCCATCAAATCAAAACTAAATTTAGCTTAATGAGATTCTTAACATGTACAATACGGATCTAAACTATATCTAGTGAGTTTTCTGTTCTCAGGCATGTCAAAGCCTGAAGTTATTTTAGTGCAGCATTGAAAATTTCACAGTGAAAACTGCATGGTAATAGGAAACGTAAATACTGAAGTACCTGGAGAGCAGGTCTAATACAAAATCTATTTCTTTAATGCTATTTCTGTCAAAATGTTTTATTTAAAGGTATCTTCTTGGAGCTTGTCTTTTTAACTGCAGTCGGAAAATGTATGGTGGCTTTCATTCCTTTTTTGTAGGGCCAGGTTCATATGGCTCTACCTGAAGGCTTGGTGACAATCACAAGAGGTGAGGAGGCCTTCAACGGATTAAATTAATTTAAACTGTGTGATGACATAAGTATTTGTCCTTCATTCAGCTTTCCAATTACACAGTCCATTCTCCAGTTTCAAGAATAAAATGTGGTACATTAGGGTTTTTTTCACTTGTAACAATACTTCAAATGAAAGATGCTTTGTTTCAGATCTCTTTAGCTTCATTTTGCTTTTTCCTTGGAATAACCTTGCTTAGCTTCAGATCCATTCTACAAGACAAAACTCTGCCAGTAAAGTGTGCCAAAGTACAACATTTTTCTCTGTATTCACTTCCCAAGTGCAAGGAAAGATATTTTTCATTCTGTTGTGTGAGGTGGGGTTTTTTCCAAAAGCATGAGAGCCAGCTGACACACATGCCTTGCTCTGCTCCTGCACAAAGCATTTCTTTGAGTAAGTGTCAGTGGTCGTCTTCTATCTTCAGGGGTCGTCTTCTACCTTCAGGGATCTTTTCTCCTCCTCTCCTGCGTCTGGCATACCAAACTACCTCTTATTAGAGGGCTACGAATTGAAGTGTTCATGACCTCAGATGCCAGGTATCTACCTACCTTAGATGTTAGGTTTAAGAGGCTAAACCTTCCAGGCTCTCCACACATTAAAGCCATTAGGCACATAATGACCAATATTTAAAAAAAACAAACAAGTGTCTTCAGCAAATAGCCTGTTTCAGGAGCTGCAGTACTTCCGAGGTTTACATGATACAACTGCTCATCCTCTTTCTTCTACAGAATGACATTGCACATTGCTGTATGTCAAGAAATCATTATCTGACTTGCTGCTTTGTCTGCAAACCTCACACTACTTATTCAATATTAAAATTGTTACTTAAACTTTTGTTGTTTTGCTGACAAATTCCCGTACAACTCTTTTCTATACAGAAGTTTAAGTGTAAGAAACACTTAATCTCTGCTTTAGCATAACTTCTGACACCTGTTAAGGCTTGCTGAACACCCATAAGGCAAATTTGTAGAGAGGGATGGGTCTAGATTAATTACATTAGTACTTAAGCCATCCATAGATTTCAAAAATACTTAAAAATGTGCGTGCTCAGAAGTTAAATATGATTATGTCAAAATCATTCCCTTGCAGACATTATATAGCTATTCATTGGTTAGTTCTGTATTAATAATTTGATACCTACTTTTATCCTGCAGTGTTTTCCTCAGTAGCCAAATTACTTGTTGGATTAATAAAATGGTGTGGGGAAAACAGTAGCAAGTGCTGTGCCTGTAACTTCACAGAAAGTTATATTTGAACTGTTTGAGGGTTTTTTTCATGTCTTATTGTTGCAGTGCAGTGTGATCCACCATGTGAGCACGGAGGAACTTGTCTATCTCAAAATACTTGTTCTTGTGCTTATGGATTTGTTGGTCCTCGATGTGAAACAAGTATGTATGAACTCATTCAGCCTTTTCTCCTCATCACAGTTTGAATTTGTAGAAAATTAGAAGACAAAAAAAGCCTTTTTTATTTTTCTATATTTCCCCCTAAAATGATGATTGAATACAGCAGGGAAATCAAAGTATAATATATGGAAGAAATACAGTAGCTAAACTATTTCAGAACATGTATTTACCAGCAGCATAGTTGTATTATGTAAAAATATGCCCATCTATATCAACATTTTCTACACAAAATGCTTCTGGAAAAAGAAACAAACAAGCAAAACCCTCCATGTTAGTTATAGTAACATTTATGAAATTCAAGGTTATGTGAGTGAATGCAGTAATACTAATTTTGAAAACACAAAAAGACAACCATACCTATTAGGAGTCATGTTATTGTGCAATGCAAGTTACAAAAGAGGTTCAATATCTAGAACACCTGGGAAAAAAATCAGCCTTCAAACCCTTCTATATTAGCTGAATGGCAAAACATGCAGTTTCATTATTACAGTCCTCGCTGCTTATTTACGTATCAGGTTGCCCTTGACAGGGATATAGTTTTATCTCTGAACCAGAGTAGCTGGAATAATTAAAAAGTGAAGAATTTTAGATGCAAGACTTCTCATAGAGAAAGAAAACCAAGGAAAGGGACAGATTCATCCCTTAGTTTACCTCGTGGACTAACACCATTAGTTATTTGCTGTAACAGAAGATCTGCATCAGTGTTGCCGATAAGAGATTTAGATCCTTTGTGTGTTTTCCAGTGGTGTGTAACAGACACTGTCACAACGGTGGGATCTGTGTGTCACCAGATGAATGCAAATGCAGAAATGGATGGAGCAGTCCTTCTTGCGAAACAGGTAAGTGGTTAGAAATGACTGGTCTCACGTCTTTTGCTGTCTGCAATCCATGTGTTTCCCACAACTCAGCTGTCAGACTGGGGGATGCTTAAAGAACTAAAACTTAAGAACAGGAGACCTAATGAAGGGCAAAACCTCGGAAGGCTTTGAGTTTACCTAAGCATTCACAAGTTTAAATGTTTATCTAAATCTCAGGGTCCCATAGATGAAACCCACAAATAAAACCATTTTACAGCTTTTTAAGCTTTTGTGATTCTGGAGTTTATTCTTAGCACACACGAAAATGAAAATAAAGCTATTCACCATTTCAGAAGTTACAACCTTACTAGGCAGCTTCTGCAAATGAGAATAATCCTCAGTGGGACTTCAGAGATACATTGACTTACAGTCTCAGCTGCCACAGACCTCACTCTGTTAGTCTTGTTCGTGGAGAGCTCAAGGAATGAGTCCTGCCCAACTCCCGCAGCAGCAGAGATGAGGGCAATGCAGCCACCTGCACTGCTCACGACGTGTGCAGCTTCCAGTTTTCCTTGCTTTTAACCCTACACACTTCTCTCAAAGTGTGACGGTGGGGCAGAAAGAAGGGTTTGGCTTTTTGTGATTTTTAATGGTATGCAGTCGAATCTCAACTTAAGAATACAGTTTACGGAGACAGGAATAGAAAGAGGCCAGTTCAAGTTAGGACAAGAACATAAGCAAGAAAACGTGCCTTCTGCTAAGCTAGCAACCACACGCACACTCCTAATTCTGCACAGTCTAAGGAAGAAAAGTGAACCTAGATAGGTAAGGTATTGGAAACTGAGACTGACTACTATGATTTTTGTGGTCCAGTTCTTGGATTCAGTTTTGCCATTCCAGAAGATGGCTTGTGACTGTATGAGCCAGGACAAAAGTCAATTTGCAAGGAGAACGTGACCATTCACCCTCTAACATTAAACATCCTGCTGCTGCCAGAAATCACTCTGCTTCTCCTGCCTGCATCTCATATTTGCAGAACACTTACAAAAGGCATCAACAGAAGTGGGCATGCCCAGGGGAAAACCACCTCCACCTGTCAGTGCGAAATGACAAGGTGAGGATTTGAACTAGGTGCCTATTTCTGGTCAGGACTCATAGTTTTGAACCCTGTTTTGAACAGATACAGCTCACATCTTCCTCTCAGGGTCTAAGTGCTAAAAGCTGGAGTACATATTTTTCCTCCAAAGGCACAGCAACTACAGCACTCACCTGGGACAAGGCATGTAAAAATAGTGAAATATTAAAAGGAGCAAGAATGAGGACTACCTTAATCAGTGCCAAACCTCAAGGCTACAGAGGCAGTCTGCCTCTGCCATAGTGAATATTAAATGACTAAGACACCTTCAGCCTACATTACCTTTCCTGGAAGGTGAGAGATGTCATTTTAACCTCCATCTCCCAGAGATTGCTCTTCCTGTAAGTGTTGAAATGACAGACCTATTGAGAACACATAAATTAACCTAGCTAAGATCCTCGGTAAACGACTGGGATTGCCAGTAGCTATTCTGGTTCCCACTATCTTCTCTTTTTCCTGCCGGAGATTACTTTCCTTGAGTTCTGTAGATTTATTTTGGGGTGGTTTTGAACAGGAATATTCCGAGAGGAGGACAAGCAACAGCAGCAGAAGCAGTCATTTCCAACCCAGAATAACAGCAGCAGGATTTGTTTGCTCACCGACACCTTAGGTGAAAAACTATGAGGCTCACCTCTTCGGCGCTGCTTTGTGTGCATTACACAGAGTATTTTGTTGATACCGTTGGGGTTTCCTGCCTCAAGTGATATGGTAGGAGCCTCTGAATGAACACAGATAGAGTAAAAAAAAAATGATTTAGGGGACTTTACCAATGGAAATATAAACACTGACAGAGTGCGGACATCTGCGAACTAGCTAGGACAAGGAGGCAACTAATCCAAATTCACCGTTAGCAATGAATGAAGTCCATTTTTACTTCATAAGTGACAGCTGCCTAGTCAGAAAAGCTTCTCATCTAGACTAGTTTCACTTTTTTTCTTTTTCCAAATTGTCATTTTATTTCTCCTTTAATTCATCTGAAACATTTAATTGAACCTTAATTTATTTAAGCTTAAATGTGTTTAATTTATTTAATGGACAGTTCAGTAAGATACTGAAAGACAAAGGGAATAGAAGGAAAAAGGCTGTTTTAAAGTGTCACTCTGCTGTACAATGAAAACTTTATCAGATTCCTTATTCTTCACACACTGACTTCCCCGCTAAACTAATTTGCAATGCTAATGCTTTTTTTTTCAAGTCAGGTACTGGCCGCATAGCAATCTGCAAGACAGCTTTTAATTCCTAACGCCTGTGGTATCATCTACAGTAATAACAGATAGATAAAGAGGGAAAGGGAGCTCAGCCAGTGGCTTTGTTGGTGATGCATGAGGCAATATGTTGTGGGAACTGGCATTTAAACGAGGCAGAACAAACGGAGGTTTTGCAGTGCATACCTATTCAGCTTCACAGAAACACTACGATGCTCTGCTGAACTCAGACAAAGCAGCAAACGGTTAATATCTCATCTCCAGGTTATCCAGGCTGTATGTAATATGACTACATTGTACTACCTTGGGATCGTGTTTGGTGAGGATACTCGACTGAAGCAAATGAACCGTGCAAATCAAAGGAAGACATCAGAAATAAACTATTAAATTCTATTTTATTTCATCCCCCAAGATACGTTAAAATGCCACTGAAATGCTCCCACTGTCTCGACAATGAATAAATGCTGCAGCACAACTGACCATCAAGACTTGTGTGAAATTTATCACAGCATCACTAGAACTGTGTATTCTGATGACATGTGCAGCAGCAAAAGAGTGCCCACTATAAAAAATTCAAAATTATAAGAGATTCATAGAGTTATCTTATATTCATATACAGCTGTGTGCAACCCTGTGTGCTTGAACGGAGGAATCTGTGTGCGGCCAAACATGTGTGCGTGTCCTTATGGTTTCTACGGGCCACAGTGCCAGAGAGGTAAGAAAGTTCTATTTATCATCCTGATAAAGGATCCAGGCTTAAAATATAAACAGCAGCTTATATCATTACCTGCCCCCACATGAAGTATATCCAGGGACTTTCCTTGTCGCAACTCCCGGCGTGCTCCTTTGATGTCAGTCTGTCATAAATCCGCACTATATTGTTCTTAATGTTCTTGTGAAGGAGTAAGCACTTATTTATGATGGCATTCATGATAACTAAACAATCTAAAACTATCTGAAGTCAGCGGTATCACTAATTAGCAACTATTCAATGAAATGTCAAAGCATGGCTCTACTTTGTTCATTTTGCATACTCTATAGCGTGTACTATACTGTGTTTCAGAGCCAGATGATAACTGATCTTCAAATGGGGCTCACAATAGCACCTACTTGACCATTCTAGAGTGTAGTGGAGTGGGAAACTTGTGCAGGACTTCTTTGGATCCCTGCTCAAAGATCTGATCAAATATTGCTCTGCCTGGCATAAAGCAGGGCCTGATTTTGAATCCCTGTCCTAAAGGGGAGAGCTCTAAACTGAGGCTAACAGTCTTCTTGCTCACTTTGTGCTGTGGAAGTCAAATTAATTAATACTTTAACTACCCATTAGCTCAGGTAGAATAGACAGGAGAGAGAAACTTACGTTTAAGGCTAAAATAGCTGGAAGACCCTTGTACTTATACCATTCACTTTTCATTTTTTTTGAGCATTGCTGTAACAACCTCTCCTGAATCTGGGATTATAAATACACTCTTACTACCAAACTTGAACTATTTCAATATTAAAAGTTCTTTTCTCTTTCTCTCTCTGTTTTGTTTCCCTGGAGTTTCTAGATGAATGCAATCCCAATGCATATTTTTGCAAGTGAGTGATTTGCACACAAAAATCTAATTGCAAATGGAGCTTGCTTGAAGCTCTTTGTTTTTTGTGATGTTGGGGGTGAAGGAGAGGGTGAAAATGATACAGACTCTGTAATTTGATGATCTTTCTCTTGAGGTTCAACAGGGAAGGTGATTTTCAACATCTAGGTGATTTGGAGTTTTTATCCTTAAGTTTTATGATCTAGACAGAACTAAAACTTGAAAATAAATATCCTCATTTGTGGGATATGGAATTGATACGGGGAGAGAGTGGATGGGTGCTGAAGAAAAACAAAGCCCTTCCTTCTGCTCTATTGAGAAAGGGGGAAGAAATAGCACCAAACCCAAGTTAGCAAATACCAAGCACTGATCTATATTTCGAGCACAGAAGCCCTTTAGCTAGAGAGGTAAAAACCTGAGAGGTTCTCAGGAATATTCTAACCACTTAACTGCAGGTATCTAAAAGAGACTCTTAGGTGCCAGGACTCATGTCTCACATTCTTTCTACGCACAAGAGAGAGTCAGGATCTCCAGCCAGGCATCTGCCCCGGTCACCCTTTGGAGAGACACCTTCTCTGTCTCTGTCCTGACTAAAGAAGACAGCCTCTGCAGACTGGTCTCCCAGTGCTGGCACCTAAATAAGGAGCTATATTTAGGCAATGTTGACCTCCTCTGTGATTTTGGTGCACAAAACTTTTGCTTTCCTTTCACTAGCTGTTTGCATTCCGCCTTGTAAGAACGGTGGTCACTGTGTTCGAACCAATGTGTGCTCCTGTACCGAGGGCTACACTGGAAGAAGGTGTCAGAAAAGTAAGTTACAAACTTCCCTTTGCTTTCCAATGTTCTCTGACTCATAAACAGGTTGTCGGGGTTTTTTCCCTTTTTGTGCATGCTCCACAGAACATTTAGTCTGCATTTATGCTGTGATCTATATTTCTATCAGAGCACATATAACACTATATTATGTCTAAAACCAACTTGTTAATTAGAATAGCATTAAATCAAGTCAATGTTGGGAGCCGAACGTTTTGCTAGAATCCTCTCTAAATATTTCATGCATTCAGAATGAGTAACACTCATATTTGGAGATGAATTAATTATTTTGCATTAAAGATTTTTTAGGGAAAAAATTAAAGCCAAAGGCAGAGCAGCTGACTGAGATCCTTAAAAATATTAGACCATCATACTCCTAGCTTAATTAAGACACTCAGTTAATAACACTTCAGCCTTGCCTTTGTTCTCATCACTGAAAACTCCCTCTTCACCTTAGCATCGGTATTCATATTTGATTCTTCTGTTCTTCTGGGGAAATAGGTTATTTTGGCACTTTTGCAGACTCTTGCTCAACAATATCTGTCACCCAGGGAGTGTAGGTTATGTATGTGAAATTTTTTTTTTCTTTTTTTTTATTATTTCTTAACCAGTTTGAAATTGGCAAAAGGGGAGCTGTGAAAACAACCATTCTTGGCAGGAAGAATCTGTACATTTCCAGAGCACTTTATGTCTCTCACACACAGAGGAAAAAAGCCAGTAAAAAATTCCTTCCAGCAACAAAAGCCCTCTCAATCCCCATCCTACCGCTCTCCCCTCGTGCAGCAGGGAGAATCATGATGCGCAGTTCTGCCTGGCTGCAAAGCACACAATTGAATAGTCTGTTCTGGCAGGAACAAGCTGGAGGGAAGAAAGGAGGAAAAAAACCTTATGTTTGGCATCTTGTTTTTGAGGTTAGAGAACATTAGAAAAGGGCTGTTTCCAGCTTATAAACATACTACCACATCTCTAGACAGATCAAAGGAAAAAGAGGTGATCATGACTGCAGTCTAGCAAAGCACTCCCCTAAATTCTCCAACTGCTACCAACCCACAGCACGTTTCTTTCCACTTTCAAAAAGTTTATGAGGCTTTTGCCATCTTAGTATAATCTTTTGCAAAAAGCTTTCTGATATGATGAAATTATTTTTGTTCCGTCCAATCTCAGCCTCTGTTCTACTTCAATAACCACTATATAGTCTATTTTATTCAGCCAAATAAAGGACCTGTGTCTGTGATGAATGAAGAGAAACAGGATTAAGTAGGAGGCAAATACTACTATTTGCTTACTCTTGCTGGCCACAGACTGTTAATAAGTAAAAAATGTTGAGTAATTTTTTTTTTCTTGCTTAAAATCAGCTGCATGTGGGATGGGTTTTATGATCCATAGAAAGAAGTAGGTTATTCATAAGCTTTTCATAACAAGCAGTTACTATCAGAGCTGTATATCTTATCATCGTTGCCACATGAAATACTTCTCTCTCCTCTGCCAGAGGATCCAGATTTCTCCGCACCTCTGGAGCGAAGGGCTGCAGGGCACATGGCAGAAGTGAGTCTCAGCTGACCTCTGCAAACCTTCCTCTACAAACGAAATGGAAACAATTAGTACTCCCAGCAGCTGGTGGCTGCTCTCAGCCCTATACATCTCAGAGTTCAAACGTCAAAGGCATTCCACACCTTTTTTAGGTGTGATTTTATATCATTTTCAATACAGGGCAGGAGTATATACATCTAGACATGTTCCTAACTCATTTACACATAGACAAAAAAGGTGGAAAGTAAATTCCCTGCATGAAGACGCTCCACTACCCAACCCCTTTTTCTTCAATAAAATGTATAAAAACTACCATGATATCCATTTTATGTTCCAAAAAGAGCTAATATATCATGTAGGTCATTCTGTCTCATTTGCAGCGTCGCTGGCAGTATGTATATGTATTTATGCATTTATCAAACTCATTCTGATAATCCTGTGGCTGCTTAGGCTGCTGACTCCAGAGCTGAGCCCAGCCCCATGGGTTGTGTGCCTGGGTGCTCAGAAACCCAGCTGGGAAACAATCCATGCAGTGCTTCTGCTAACCTTCCTGGGAAGGGTATGGCTAGAAGGCATCTGAAAAAGAACAGTAGATTTCTACGTTACAGAGAGGGTTTTCTCTGGATTTGAGCATGTTTTCTGTTTGTGTTTAAGGACCCCATGTAACTCAGCTGTGCCATGACTTACACAGGGTATCACAACTCACACAGAGTTGTAATATCCTTACACAAAGAATAAGGAAAAGAAATAAATACATGACAATAGCAAGACTGTAATTAGATACAAAGTTTACTGGAAATTTATTACTGCAACAGCTCCCGTTTGCAAATCACCAGGACAATGTACCCCAGTTTCAGAGGAACTCCAGAGGTGAACCTGTGGCCCAAATCGTAGCTCCGTGTTCTCTAACCTGTTGCTGCCAAGTTACCCCCAGCTGAGAAATCTACAGTTGGTTTAGCCAAAATGAGGAATGTGACAATTCTGAGAAAAACAATCCCTTGTGAGGGGTTTGTCATTATTTTAATTGTTCTTTGCTCTCTGAATATGAATTTGCAGTGTCCTGAAGTACTTTTACACTTCTAGTAGTTTCAAAAACGTGTGGTAGCAAATCAGCTTTACTGTGTACTTACACTGAGTCTCTGATCTCAGAAATTTTGGGTGGATTTATTACCTGTCTAATAAAACCGACCAAGATAGAGTGAGTAAACTTAAGACTAAAAAAGACAGATCTGAAGAAGTTTCCTACCCATGTATTACATGGAGAGCAGCCTCACATTCTTGATCTTTAGTTTGGGAAAATATTTGTGGGTTTGGGAAATTTCCCATGAACCATAAAAACTGAGAAATAGACTTTTCAGAAACAGTGGTCTGAACAAAAGTACTGCCTTTACGAACCTGCAGTGAATGCTTGAAATTGGCAGTCTTTTCAATTTTGTCATTGTTTATACACAGCAGTACACAGTTTTTGCACAATTATCTCTGAAACCTACTGATAAGGATATGAATTGCGCCAGTAAACCCTTAGATTTCAGTTTTAATATGCTCTGACACCACTAGAGTTAGAGCAAGGGGAAAATTCCCTGCTATGCACAGCCCTGATTACAGTAGGGATGCTACAGTTTCCAGGCTCGTGGTACCATCTTCTGGATGACCCCTTTGATGAAGGACCCCTTACACAAAGTCAGAGAAGCAAGAAGCACTTGGATTCCCATCTTGGAGATAATTTGCATATCAGGGTTGCTCCCAATGTGTGAACCCAAGTGTCTTGCAGCTCAGATGTAAGCGGCAGCCAGTCAAGTGGGACATACATTTGTCCTTGTGATGAGTCAACATAGTAATAGTTGTGGGTGTCTGTTTCTCCAGTAATTAACACTCAAAAGTACTTCTTTCATCTTAACCAATACCATAAAAAATCACCTTAGTATCCGTAATGGAAATAACAGAATAAAGGATTCACATACTCTAAACAAACGGTATAATTGTCATGATACCAGCTTTACGAAGTTTTTTTTAGGCAGGAACACTATTTAGAGGCAAAGATAAAAATAAGTTCAATCAGTTTTTAGTCACTTACACCTTGGATATTTTGGCACTGCTTCCACTGCTTTTAGACATGTGTCTTTCCTTCTTAATATTTCACCTGCACAGACAGGTAAAAGCTTCTGTTTGCTTTTGGCAGCTTCAGATTCTCAATAGAAGGAGATAACTAAAGCTAAAGGCCATGGACATCAAAGAGAGGTTATTTCTAAACTGAACCCAAATATGCTATTGGTTTGTTTTAAATACACAGCAACGTGCCTTAGGATTTTCACTTCCATCCCTATACAGTTTGGCATTTCTAATACTCTCTGTCTGATAGCCAAAATCGTGCAGGACAGCCCCACGTCTTCACCATTCGGGCTTACCCTTCTATGCTTCCTGAGTGTGCCGAGAAAGGCGTTCAGCCTGAAAGCTTGTGTTTGTTTTGTACGTAAATAAACATGGCCTCAAAAAAAAAAAATGTGCTGATCAATAAGGTCCGATTGGCTGCCAGGTGAAATATAAGGCTGTGCCTGGTGTGTTTACTGACAAAAAACTGCCTGGTGATTATGCAAACCAGACACCCACACCCAGGACGAGCGGGTGTCAGAGCTGACAATGAAATGTATGGTTATGCCTCAGCAATTGTACAACCTTGTATCCTCACTTGCTACGCATTGTTTCAGTATAATCAGTCTTGTTGAGCAGAAAAAGGCAAATGCTGGCAGTACCTCAAAATAAAATGTATTTCTGGATCAACTTTGCATCAAACAAACATACTCTGGGTTAATACTAAAGAAAAGCTATTTGCATGTGGTTTTTAGTTACCTTTTGAAGCGATGCACATCTGTAACAATCCTGGGATATCACTCCTGTTCATAAGGTTTTAAAGCAGTGTTCATGATTTCTACTACAACCTTGCAAAAATCATAAACAAAGAAAATAGATTAGATTTCATTTATTTACTACATGTATTTTTATAGGACTGCTTTAGAAACAACTCCTAAAAAAGGAAATCTAATAAAACCTGAGTTTTCTTGTGAGGGTTGGAGCGAAGAGAAGAGGAGACAAAGAGAAATTAATGGGACCACATGTTTATCCCTTCTCCACTGCTATCTGCTTCTAGTGAGCTCACCTCTGAGCAAAAAAGACAAGCCACAGCTCCCTCTGGAGCTCATCAGCAAGCAAAGGTCACAGGAGAACAGTGCTGAACATCCTCTTCCTCCCTTCTCCAGAATACCAAGCACACCTGCAGCCTGACCTCAGCCTCTCTTTCAGCAGCGTACCTTCTCGCCGCTCGTCTCGCAGCCGGCTAGCTGGAGTTTTACATACAGTTTAAAACAGAGACCATATTTCTGCACGCATCTCTTTTATCGTGTCAGGCCGAATCCTGCCGACTTTGTAGCACATAAATCATCACACTGACATTAGGACTTTGCAGACTGGAG